AGAGAAAGAGGCGATATGATCACTACATACAAAATAGTAACAGGAATCGATAAAATTGATAGGGAAGAATTCCCGAGGCCTGGAACTTCAAAAACAAGAGGTCAAAGATTTAAACTCACGAAACAAAGATGCCGGAGAAATATATGAAAATTCACTTTTGTACACAGAGTGATAGACGGTTGGAACAAATTAGATGAGAAAGTGGTGGAGGCCAAGACTGTCAGTAATTTCAAAGTGTTATATGACAGAGTGCTGGGAAGACAGGACACCACTAGTGTAGCTCTCATCCTGTAACTACACTTAGGTAATTACTATCTTGAGGTTATCTTGCAGACGATTTTGAGGCTTAGCCCTGCGGCCCGGTCCTCAACCAGGCCTCCTTTTTGTAACACATCCCCAGGAAGCAGACCGTAGCAGCTGTCTAACTCCCAGGTACCTATTTACTGCTAGGTGAACAGGTGCATCAGGGTGAAGGAAACTGCCCATTTGTTTCCGCCTCCGCCGGGGATCGAACCCGGAACCTTAGAACTACGAATCCGAAGGGCTGTCCACTCAGCCGTCACGCCCCTATAACAAAACAGGGTTACATAACTGTTTACATTTGGAAAATACTAGAAGGATTTGTTCCAAATCTGCACACAGAAATAGCACCACATTAGACCAGAAGACATGGCAGGATATGCAAAATATCCCCGATGAAAAGAGGTGGTGTAATAGGTACTCTGAGCGAGAACTATCGACAAAGGAAACTTCTTCCTTTCTTCAAGAGGAAACTAGATTTATTCCTCCAAGGAGTGCTGGACCAACCGGGCTGTGGTGGGTATGTGGGCCTGCGGCCGCTCCAAGCAACAGCCTGGTGGACCAAACTCTCACAAGTCAAGCCTGGCCTCGGGCCGGGCTTGGGGAGTAGAAGAACTCCCAGAACCCCATCAACCAGGTATATGTGGGCCTGCGGGCCGCTCCAAGCAACAGCCTGGTGGACCAAACTCTCACAAGTCAAGCCTGGCCTCGGGCCGGGCTTGGGCAGTAGAAGAACTCCCAGAACCCCATCAACACAGGTATATGTGGGCCTGCGGGCCGCTCCAAGCAACAGCCTGGTGGACCAAACTCTCACAAGTCAAGCCTGGCCTCGGGCCGGGCTTGGGGAGTAGAAGAACTCCCAGAACCCCATCAACCAGGTATATGTGGGCCTGCGGGCCGCTCCAAGCAACAGCCTGGTGGACCAAACTCTCACAAGTCAAGCCTGGCCTCGGGCCGGGCGGGCCTGCGGGCCGCTCCAAGCAACAGCCTGGTGGACCAAACTCTCACAAGTCAAGCCTGGCCTCGGGCCGGGCTTGGGGAGTTGAAGAACTCCCAGAACCCCATCAACCAGGTATATGTGGGCCTGCGGGCCGCTCCAAGCAACAGCCTAGTGGACCAAACTCTCACAAGTCAAGCCTGGCCTCGGGCCGGGCTTGGGGAGTAGAAGAACTCCCAGAACCCCATCAACCAGGTATATGTGGGCCTGCGGGCCGCTCCAAGCAACAGCCTGGTGGACCAAACTCTCACAAGTCAAGCCTGGCCTCGGGCCGGGCTTGGGGAGTAGAAGAACTCCCAGAACCCCATCAACCAGGTATATGTGGGCCTGCGGGCCGCTCCAAGCAACAGCCTGGTGGACCAAACTCTCACAAGTCAAGCCTGGCCTCGGGCCGGGCTTGGAGAGTAGAAGAACTCCCAGAACCCCATCAACCAGGTATATGTGGGCCTGCGGGCCGCTCCAAGCAACAGCCTGGTGGACCAAACTCTCACAAGTCAAGCCTGGCCTCGGGCCGGGCTTGGGCAGTAGAAGAACTCCCAGAACCCCATCAACCAGGTATATGTGGGCCTGCGGGCCGCTCCAAGCAACAGCCTGGTGGACCAAACTCTCACAAGTCAAGCCTGGCCTCGGGCCGGGCTTGGGGAGTAGAAGAACTCCCAGAACCCCATCAACCAGGTATATGTGGGCCTGCGGGCCGCTCCAAGCAACAGCCTGGTGGACCAAACTCTCACAAGTCAAGCCTGGCCTCGGGCCGGGCTTGGGGAGTAGAAGAACTCCCAGAACCCCATCAACCAGGTATATGTGGGCCTGCGGGCCGCTCCAAGCAACAGCCTGGTGGACCAAACTCTCACAAGTCAAGCCTGGCCTCGGGCCGGGCTTGGGGAGTAGAAGAACTCCCAGAACCCCATCAACCAGGTATATGTGGGCCTGCGGGCCGCTCCAAGCAACAGCCTGGTGGACCAAACTCTCACAAGTCAAGCCTGGCCTCGGGCCGGGCTTGGGGAGTAGAAGAACTCCCAGAACCCCATCAACCAGGTATATGTGGGCCTGCGGGCCGCTCCAAGCAACAGCCTGGTGGACCAAACTCTCACAAGTCAAGCCTGGCCTCGGGCCGGGCTTGGGGAGTAGAAGAACTCCCAGAACCCCATCAACCAGGTATATGTGGGCCTGCGGGCCGCTCCAAGCAACAGCCTGGTGGACCAAACTCTCACAAGTCAAGCCTGGCCTCGGGCCAGGCTTGGGCAGTAGAAGAACTCCCAGAACCCCATCAACCAGGTATATGTGGGCCTGCGGGCCGCTCCAAGCAACAGCCTAGTGGACCAAACTCTCACAAGTCAAGCCTGGCCTCGGGCCAGGCTTGGGGAGTAGAAGAACTCCCAGAACCCCATCAACACAGGTATCAATCAGGTAAAGGCCCAAGACTGTTCAACCCTCTCCCTTTACACATACTGGGCATGACTGGCCGACCTCTTACGGTGAACAAGAGAGAACGTGGTAAACACCTCCAAAGGATACCTGATCAACTAGGATGCGATTTGTAGGTCAGGCTGCGAGCAGCCGCATCAAACAGCCTGGCTGACAAGACCACTAACCAGGGACCAGATTTACGAAGCAGTTACGCAAGTACTTACGAACCTGTACATCTTTCCTCAATCTTTGGCGGCTTTGTTTACAATTATTAAATGGTTAATGAGCTCCGAAGCACCAGGAGGCTGTTTATAACAATAACAACAGTTGATTGGGAAGTTTTCATGCTTGTAAACTGTTTAATAAATGTAATCAAAACCGTCAAAGATTAAGGAAAGATGCACACGTTCGTAAGTATTTGCGTAACTGTTTCGTGAATCTAACCCCAGGAGGCCTAGTCAAGAGACTGGGCTGAGGGAAAGTTGATCCTCGGTTAATCGAATGGTAAATGCAAGGCATGTTATTGTCCCTCCTTGGCAAGTATCGAGGAAAGACTAAAATGTCAAAACTTTCTATTTCATATGTGTGGGGTTTGGTTATTAAACATTAAGTAACATTTCAAATTGTTGTACAATACACTGCAACCTTCAAATTCTAAAACGTAACGTTCTGGACCTGATCTCAATTTCTGATCAATTTCCTATTTTGGCTGTTCATCTTTACGCATTCGCATGACGAATTTTACATTGACATTTTTTCAACGTTTCTAATTGGCAAATTATATAACATTAACGTTTGAGCATATTCAGATATATAATGATTGTGTGTATAAAATAATAATTGTGCACCAAAAAAAACATGAAACATTAATTAATATGCTTACAGTTTTGTAGCATAGGCTACCAATAGGAAGAAAAATTACATTACAGTGCTACATCATGACATTCGTTAAAACGTTTGCAATCGCACTCAACAACTCTGCTAATTACAAGTCCATTAGGTGCACATGGAAAAAAAGTACAGGTATTGTATTCATAACCAATAAGGATCAATACCATTTGGCACTCCAAACGCACGATTTAATCGCACACGTATTGATTGAAGTTGATTAAGGGGCCCAACCAGAACTTTTAACACTTAGTTGCATTCTGGCGTTATCTTTAGGTTATCTTGAGATAATTTCGGGGCTTTAGTGTTCCTGCGGCCCGGTCCTCAACCAGGCCTCCACCCCCAGGAAGCAGCCCGTGACATCTGACTAACACCCAGGTACCTATTTTACTGCTAGATAACAGGGGCTTAGGGTGAAAGAAACTCTGCTCATTGTCTCTCGCCGGCGCCCAGGATCGAACCCGGGACTACAGGATCACAAGTCCAGTGCACTGTCCGCTCGGCCGACCGGCTCCCTTGTGGATTTGTTCATTTGTTTAGAATAAGAGAGATTGGCAGAGAAAGGAAGGATGGATGGATCAGATATCAGATTGTTGGAAACATTTGACACTGCCTTCCCCCTACCTGGACATTATACTAGCCTAGTATAGGACTAGTCCAGTCCATGAACCAGCAGTTCTGCACATGCCCTGTACAGCTGTGTCAGAGTGCCGACCAACCCAAGGAGTGCCGTGCCGGACCAACCGGGCTGTGGTGGGCCTGCGGGCCACTATGAGCATTTTGGACCAAGCTTTCACAAGTCAAGCCTGGGCTTGGACAGTAGAAGAACTCCCAGAACCCCATCAAGCAGGTATGGTGGGGCCTGCGGGCCGCCCCAAGCAACAGCCTGGTGGACCAAGCTCTCACAAGTTAAGCCTGGCCTTGGGCTAGGCTTGGCCAGTTAAAGACCCCCCAGAACCCCGTCAAGCAGGTATCAAGCAGCTCTGTACTAGCCTCTACCCTCATTGGCTAATCCCCGTTCTCACAAAATGTCTGTTACACATACAGCAGACGATGAGTCACAATAATGTGGCTGAAGAATGTTGACCAGACCACACACTAGAAGGTGAAGGGACGACGACGACGTTTCGGTCCGTCCTGGACTATTCTCAAGTCGAAACGCCGTCGTCCCTTCACCTTCTAGTGTGGTCTGGTCAACACATACAGCAGACTATATGTGTCTGCTGTGTGTTTAAAGGACGTGTTCCTGCATGCCAAGAAGTATTGTCCAATCAGCTATGTTTAACGTAGCAGTTTCTTACACTAATATATGTACAGACGGCTGACAACACATTTCTAAACGTAAGTGGTTTTTAAAAGCATGCCAATCTAGGGTTTGGTACTAATACATATTAAATTTCATACTCACACTAAGCACATTTCTTGATCTTAGGTATCTGTAGATCTGTGTGGGTTCTGCAAAGGTATTAAAGTAATTAGTCATTATTTCAAACAAATATTTCTATTTTACTACCATATTTACTGGCATATAAGATGCACCTCCACTAAAGATAACTAATTTACAAGTATATTCATGGAAAAAACTAATATAGTACAGTGGCACCTCGATTAACGAGTTTGATCCGTTCCGGCACCGAGCTCGTCGTGTGGAAAACTTGTCTTGTGAAACATCAACAAAACTGTCGTAAAAGGTGTCCGAGAACCAGCGGAAACGCTCGTTAATCGAGGAAAAGCTCGTTAGTAGAGACAAATGTTCTGCGAGTGGCTCGCTCGTTACTCGGAGTGCTTGTAGATAGAGTCGCTCGTTAATCGAGGTGCCACTGTATGTCTTATCATATTTATTATTAAAAGTGATTCGAGAGCACAGTTCCCCTGTTAGTACTGTGTTCCTTCCCGCAAGTTTAAATTTGACGTTGCAGCTTAATGTTATGAACGTGTCCAATCCGCCTGAAACTATGGTACAGTAATTTAAAATTTAATAAATATTAAAGAATATTTAATAGAACAAAACCAGTTAAGAGCAGGGATGTCATAGGCACAATCAGAGAACACTGTATCAGAAGACCGCGGTTGTTCAACACCCTCCCAGTGAGCATAAGAAATATTGCTGGAACAACCGTGGACATCTTCAATAGGAAAGTAGATTTTTTCTATAAGAAGTGCCGAACCAACCGGGCTGTAGTGGATATGTGGGCCTGCGGGCCGCTCCAAGCAACAGCCAGGTGGACGAAAGTCTCACAAGTCAAGCCTGTCCTCGGGCCGGGCTTGGGGAGTAGAACTACTCCCAGAACCCCATCAAACAGGTATCACCCTGACTTACAATTAACTGAGGTTTTGTTATCTATTAACTCACCAGCAGTATAAGAAAGCTACCCAAATTAAATACTCTAAATAGATACCACAAACTAACACAAACAACCTAAATACCACACTATAAACTAGGCTTTTTCTATCAATTCATTAAAAGTACATTGCATGTAAAGGATAAGCCCCCAGAGATTGAAAATGGGGAACAGTCACAGAAAATGAAAAGAAATTGTGCAAAACACTATGAACAGTTCAAAAGAGAGGGAGTGATTGTAATTACTCAAGTGTCAGGATGAGCTATGCACATGGTGTCCCGTCTTACCAATACTGTCAAAAGAGTATCGACAGAAAAAGACGCTTTGTTTGCATTCTTTCCCGTAAGCTTCCAATAAACTTACAGGGGAAAGAATGCTTTGAAACAACTGACAATTTTGGCTTCCACCACCTTCTCACTTGTTCCGTCTACCACTCTGTTTGCAAGAGAAAAAACTTGACATTTTTTCAGCACCTTTGTTTCCTTCGCTTGAATCTGTGTCCTCTTGTTCTTGAAGTTCCTGCTTTCGGGAATTTCTCTCGAAATTTGGTCGACTCCTGTAAGTATTTTGATAGTGGTGATCATATCACCACTTTTTCTTCTATCTTCTAGCTTTGGCACATTTAACGCCACTATTCTCCTCGTAACTCTTACCTTCCAGTTTCAGAGGCCATTTTGTAGCATGCCTTTGCACCCTTTCCAGTTTATGCGCTTCTCGAGATATGGGCGCCATATAACTTCTGCAGTTATATGGTGTTCTTATCTGTCTTAAGTCCTCTGTACTTCCTCCACTCTCTCCTGCTTCTTATTTTTGCTTTCTGACACTATTAAACCATAGCTTATCACATTACCTTACTTATGGTATAAAACTCCTTGGCCGCCTTGCATTTCCAGATGACTAGGGCTGACTTGTGTTGCTTCCGGGGATCAACAGCCTCGTGGGCCCAGTCCCACGTGTGGACTGGGAGTTGGGGGGGGGGTGGCCACGTGTGGACTGGTGGTAGTCGAGGGGGGGGAGCCACGTGTGGACTGGTAGTCGAGGTGGGGGGGGGGGGTAGCCACGCGTGGATTGGCAGTTGGGGTGGGGAGCCACGTGTGGACTGGTAGTTGAGGGGGGGGGAGCCACGTGTGGACTGGTAGTTGAGGGGGGGGAGCTGTGGACTGGTAGTTGAGGGGGGGGGGAGCTGTGGACTGGTAGTTGACTGGTAGGGGGGGGGGAGCCACGTGTGGACTGGTAGTTGAGGGGGGGGGGAGCTGTGGACTGGTAGTTGAGGGGGAGGGAGCTGTGGACTGGTAGTTGAGGGGGGGAGCTGTGGACTGGTAGTTGAGGGGGGGGGGGAGCTGTGGACTGGTAGTTGAGGGGGGGGGAGCTGTGGACTGGTAGTTGAGGGGGGGGGAGCCACGTGTGGACTGGTAGTTGAGGGGGGGGGAGCTGTGGACTGGTAGTTGAGGGGGGGGAGCCACGTGTGGACTGGTAGTTGAGGGGGGGGGGGGAGCTGTGGACTGGTAGTTGAGGGGGGGGAGCTGTGGACTGGTAGTTGAGGGGGGGGAGCCACACGTGTGGACTGGTAGTTGAGGGGGGGGAGCCACGTGTGGACTGGTAGTTGAGGGGGGGTAGCCACGTGTGGACTGGTAGTTGAGGGGGGGGGAGCTGTGGACTGGTAGTTGAGGGGGGGGGGGGAGCCACGTGTGGACTGGTAGTTGAGGGGGGGGAGCCACGTGTGGACTGGTAGTTGAGGGGGGGGGGTAGCCACGTGTGGACTGGTAGTTGAGGGGGGGGGGGGGGGGAGCCACGTGTGGACTGGTAGTTGAGGGGGGGGAGCCACGTGTGGACTGGTAGTTGAGGGGGGGGAGCCACGTGTGGACGTGTGGACTGGTAGTTGAGGGGGGGGGAGCCACGTGTGGACTGGTAGTTGAGGGGGGGGGGGGTAGCCACGTGTGGACTGGTAGTTGAGGGGGGGGAGCCACGTGTGGACTGGTAGTTGAGGGGGGGAGCTGTGGACTGGTAGTTGAGGGGGGGGAGCCACGTGTGGACTGGTAGTTGAGGGGGGGGGAGCCACGTGTGGACTGGTAGTTGAGGGGGGGGAGCTGTGGACTGGTAGTTGAGTTGAGGGGGGGGGGAGCTGTGGACTGGTAGTTGAGGGGGGGGTAGCCACGTGTGGACTGGTAGTTGAGTTGGGGGGGGGAGCCACGTGTGGACTGGTAGTTGAGGGGGGGGGAGCCACGTGTGGACTGGTAGTTGAGGGGGGGGGGGAGCTGTGGACTGGTAGTTGAGGGGGGAGCAACGTGTGGACTGGTAGTTGAGGGGGGGGAGCCACGTGTGGACTGGTAGTTGACGTGTGGACTGGGGGGGGGGGGAGCTGTGGACTGGTAGTTGAGGGGGGGGAGCTGTGGACTGGTAGTTGAGGGGGGGGAGCCACGTGTGGACTGGTAGTTGAGGGGGGGGGAGCAACGTGTGGACTGGTAGTTGAGGGGGGGGGGGGGGGGAGCTGTGGACTGGTAGTTGAGGGGGGGGAGCTGTGGACTGGTAGTTGAGGGGGGGGGGGGGGGAGCCACGTGTGGACTGGTAGTTGAGGGGGGGGGGAGCCACGTGTGGACTGGTAGTTGAGGGGGGGGGGGGAACCACGTGTGGACTGGTAGTTGAGGGGGGGAGCCACGTGTGGACTGGTAGTTGAGGGGGGGGGGGGGGAGCCACGTGTGGACTGGTAGTTGACTGGGGGGGGGGGGGAGCTGTGGACTGGTAGTTGAGGGGGGGGGAGCTGTGGACTGGTAGTTGAGGGGGGGAGCCACGTGTGGACTGGTAGTTGAGGGGGGGGGGAGCCACGTGTGGACTGGCAGTTGAGGGGGGGGGGGAGCCACGTGTGGACTGGTAGTTGAGGGGGGGGGGAGCCACGTGTGGACTGGTAGTTGAGGGGGGGGAGCCACGTGTGGACTGGTAGTTACGTGTGGACTGGTAGGGGGGGGGGAGCCACGTGTGGACTGGTAGTTGAGGGGGGGGGAGCCACGTGTGGACTGGTAGTTGAGGGGGGGGGGAGCCACGTGTGGACTGGTAGTTGAGGGGGGGGGGGGCAACGTGTGGACTGGTAGTTGAGGGGGGGGGAGGGACGTGTGGACTGGTAGTTGGGGGGGGGGGAGCCACGTGTGGACTGGTAGTTGACTGGGGGGGGGGAGCCACGTGTGGACTGGTAGTTGAGGGGGGGGAGCCACGTGTGGACTGGTAGTTGAGGGGGGGGGGAGCCACGTGTGGACTGGTAGTTGAGGGGGGGGGAGCCACGTGTGGACTGGTAGTTGACGTGTGGACTGGTAGGGGGGGGAGCCACGTGTGGACTGGTAGTTGAGGGGGGGGGAGCCACGTGTGGACTGGTAGTTGAGGGGGGGGGAGCCACGTGTGGACTGGTAGTTGGGGGGGGGGCAACGTGTGGACTGGTAGTTGAGGGGGGGAGCAACGTGTGGACTGGTAGTTGAGGGGGGGGGAGCCACGTGTGGACTGGTAGTTGAGGGGGGGGGAGCTGTGGACTGGTAGTTGAGGGGGGGGGAGCCACGTGTGGACTGGTAGTTGAGGGGGGGGGACTGGCAACGTGTGGACTGATAGTTGAGGGGGGGGGAGCTGTGGACTGGTAGTTGAGGGGGGGGGAGCTGTGGACTGGTAGTTGAGGGGGGGGGGAGCCACGTGTGGACTGGTAGTTGAGGGGGGGGAGCCACGTGTGGACTGGTAGTTGAGGGGGGGGAGCCACGTGTGGACTGGTAGTTGAGGGGGGGGGGAACCACGTGTGGACTGGTAGTTGAGGGGGGGGGGAGCCACGTGTGGACTGGTAGTTGAGGGGGGGGGAGCAACGTGTGGACTGGTAGTTGAGGGGGGGGGAGCCACGTGTGGACTGGTAGTTGAGGGGGGGAGCCACGTGTGGACTGGTAGTTGAGGGGGGGGGAGCTGTGGACTGGTAGTTGAGGGGGGGGGGAGCTGTGGACTGGTAGTTGAGGGGGGGGAGCCACGTGTGGACTGGTAGTTGAGGGGGAGCCACGTGTGGACTGGTAGTTGAGGGGGGGGGGTATACCTGGTAGGTTGATACCGGCTTGATGGGGTTCTGGGAGTTGTTCTACTTCCTAAGCCCGGCCC